AAAGTCAGTGTGTATGTCAGTGAGCCAGATGAGTGCACGAATCGTTCAACTTGTTGTGCGCCATCCGGCGGGGGGGAGGGGGCGGAAGTGTTGCGGGCACAGGGGCACACGTGGCCGGCGTGTGCCACGTGTGCGCGTGTGGGGTGGCGGGCGAAGAGGCTGCGGCGCACGCGTGGCACATCGAAGAATAATCTTTTGACTACTGCCTCACAGGGCGGTTACATGGGGAGATAGAAGGCAGGGCGAAAGTAATTTAGTACTTGAGGCTTGATTGATGTTTTCATTTGGCCCATTACAGGCAAATGTACTGTAATGGGCCAAATGAAATCATCATCATCCATCAATCAAGCCTCACAGGCGCGCCGCCGCCTCGTACACGATGACGTATCCTTGTCAACGACGCGCGGCCCCAACCGGGCCACGTGTGACAAATGATATAGCTGTAATGCGCGGCGACAACAATGCTCACCTGAGCCTGAGCTATGTACCTGGATTCTTGTGAGGTGCGCGAGGCACCTCCGAGGCTATAGACAGCCTGGCCTAGGGGCGAGAGGCCCCAGCAAAGAAGGATACTTAGTTCAGTAATGAGATTGAAACATTAAACGGAAGAGGTCAAGAGAGGACCATATTTTGTTATGGTAGCATCGCATGAGCAAAAAGCGTTTTTCTCAACAATTAAAACATTTAGTGAGTCGACCGTGAATATGTCTTCCGGAACAGATCACGACTCAGTTACGAGGCTTCCGAAGCTTAACAGCGCGAAAGACTATCTACACTGGCGTCGCCGTTTGTATGCCTTTATTCGGCGCAACGACATTGAACTGCTAGGGTTTTCAGAAATTGCCGAGGATGCATCTACTGCCACGAGGAAGAAATGGCTCGAGGCCATGGTGAAGGCGAAGAGTGCGATTGTGTTAAGTCTTGGAACAGGACCTCTTGCTCAGCTTGCCGAACTCATCGATGACGATAACAAGACTGCAAAAGAACTTTGGGATTCTTTAGCAAAATTGCATACTACCTCCAATGCCCAACTCATCATCAATTTGCAACATGAACTGGAAAACCTTTCATTCAAGGATGGCGAGAGTTGGGAACGCCATCTCGAGAAGTTCAATGATATAATCGGGAAATTGGAGTCTTACGATAAAAGGGTTGATGACAAGGCCTCAAAGCTAATAAGAACTCTACCCGAGTCGTTCGAGCCCTTCGCAATGGTCACAAACTCTGTTGGTATGTCTTTTGACAAGCTTATTGTTGCAGTGGAAGGAGAAATCTCGAGGCGCAAGCGAAACTTGCCAAGAGGGACTACTAATCCTACAGCTGCTTCGGCGGTCAATTCAGGAACGCAACTCATATCTTCACAAGGAGGTATTGGAAAGAAGAAAAAGGGTCCTTGCTATGTGTGCGGCAAGCTTGGGCATTACGCTTCTGACTGCTGGCACAAACAAGTCGGTTACCAACCCTTCTCGAAAAGGGGTTCATTCTTTCGAGGACAAGGACGCTATCGTACTCGAAGAGGTCGTGGAAATTTGCGTAACCGGGGAGGTTACGGAGACACAAGAGGGTACCGTAATTTCAATTTTCACCCTACTCCGCAAACACCATGGGCACAGGCTCAACACCAAACCACACCATCTGGTCCTCACAACGGTGTCGAAAATGCAGGTCGTGGCAACCAATTATCCACTCAATATGCGTCGAACAACTCAATATCTCCGCTACCGCCTCTTTCAAATCCATCTAACCGTGATCGTTCATTCGGTTTCATGGCTGGTATAAAATTTCGCAGCTCAGTAGCAGCCTGCAATGAGGAAAAGTCATCGGATGCCCTAATTGATTCAGGCGGTTCGCACCACTTTTTTCATTCAAGAGCTTCCTTCATAGTTTATGAAAAGGTCGCTGTTGAGGATGTGCTATCTGCGTCAGGAGTCTCCATTATCGTAGGAAAGGGGACTGTTTATATTCCTCTCAACGGAGGGATGTACATCGACGCATTCCACACTCCAAAATTCTCTGCCAACATTCTATCAGTCGGACAACTGTCTGACAACTTTAACGTCTTGTTTACTCGGGATCCACCTGCTGTTAACAACTACAGCACATGTGTTCTTACGACCCGCTCCACAAACAGAACCATTTTCTACGTGAAGGCAAGTGAGGGACTATACAAGATGAGAATCCAAAATCAAAATACAGCCTCTCAAACCACCGCACCTCAAGGTGCGAGTTCAACGCTTCCTCTTTCATCTTGCACATTATGTCATGCAAAAATCGCATCTTCGTCCCGTGTTGACTATTCTCTTCCCAACTATGCGCTAGAATGGCATTCAAAATTGGGACATCCAAACTCTGCTCGATATCTCCAACTTTCTGAACAATTTCCAAGCGTCCCAACTTTTCCGCGAGGTACATTGGATCACATACTCTGTGTTCCGTGCTCGCTGGGAAAAGCAAAACGAGCAACGATTCTACCCAGTCTAAGGTCAGTGTCTTTTCCGCTGGAATTAGTCCATCTTGATATTCTTGGACCAATTAATCCCACATCAATTGGAGGTAGTAGTTATGCTCTCGGCATAGTTGACGACTTCACGGCAAAGTCAAATGTATATTTTCTTTCTGAAAAGTCTGAAGTAACACAACGCCTCATGGAGTACAAAGCTCGTGCCGAAAATGCGTCCGGATACCGTCTCATTAATGCTAGACTAGATGGAGCTGGTGAGAACGTCTCTAACGAACTCAAGATATACGGCAGGCATAATGGAATAAGGCTAGAGTATAGCCCTCCATATGCACCGCAGAGTAATGGTCTTGCGGAAAGATTCATGCAAGAGCTTGGAATGCGTTCTCGTGTTCTGCTTATTGATTCAAAGTTACCCAAATCCCTCTGGGCAGAAGCAATGTCTCACGGTAACTGGCTCAGAAACAGGTTACCATCTGAGAGAATCCAAGGAAAACTCCCCATTCTCATATGGGATTCGAGGACACGAATCGATTACGGCAGCCTCCCTCCTTTTGGACAACCTGGTTTCGCATTTATCTACAAATCACCGACATCATCGGACAGAAAGTTAAGTGCAAGAGCACATCATGGCCACTTCGTGGGTCTTCAAAGCGAAGAAAGCCTATACCGGATTTTTGTTCCCGAAGTGAATCGCGTCATCATCACGCGAACCAGGGATTTCCGCCAATACACCACAGACAGGCTACCCGGGGTTCATTCTCTCCTGGACGGTATTGCGCGACAGAGTGAATTGGAAAGTCAAAAGGGAGATGATGGAATTGCTGAAGATATGCTTATCCAAGCCTTCGTCGTTTTTCGTGAACCACTTTTTATCTCATCATCTCACTTTGGCCGCAAGTCCAGACTGTCGAATTCTGAAGTCCCGCGCTCATTCTCAGAAGCCGTCACTTGTCCATTATGGTGCCAAGCCATTGACAGGGAGTACACTGCTTTGGTAAAAAGGCGGACGTGGCGCTACATATTGCGCACATCGCAACATCAACCATTGCCCTACACGTGGATATTTCGCTTAAAGCCTATCGACAAAGATGGTGTCGATTTTCTCCATAAGGCACGTTGCGTCGTTCGCGGGGACCTACAAGATCCTCGTTTCGAGTACGATCCGGATTCTCTATATGCTCCTGTTGCATCACATGACGCAATTCGTATTATTTTTGCTTTTGCCTCCGCTTGTGACCTTCTCCTCGAAGGAGGGGATGTGGCGAACGCATATCTATATGGCGACATTGACTTTGAAGTTATAATGGAACAACCTACAGATTCCTCTGGAAAAGAAGCAATGCCAAACCATGTATGTGTTCTTCAAAAATCTATGTACGGTTTAAAACAAGCCGGCCGTATTTGGGGATCGATGGTAGCTCAAATGTTCCTGAGGTGGGGATTCAGGCAATCTGCTGCTGACCCCCGCGTTTTCTACTTACAAGAAGAAAATGAATTTATTGTAGTCGTGGTTGTCGTAGACGATATGAAGTTTGCAACCAACTCAATGAAGCTCTTGGATACTCTGAAACGTAACCTAAAAGCAACTTTTGACGTCAAGTTCTTCGGTTCCCTACAGTCGTTCATTGGATGGGAAATTTCTCAGAAGCCTCATGGGATAATCATCTCGCAAACGCGATACACAGCTGGTCTATTAACCAGACATGGACTAGAGCATGCCAACGGGGTCTGGACCCCACTTCCGACCAATGCAGATCTCAGCAAAGCACATACATCGGATAGGCGCCTTTCGTCCGCGGAACATACAAGATATCGTTCCACAATAGGTGAACTATTATATCTTGCCGTGTGTACTCGTCCCGATATCTCGTTTGCCGTATGCGCTCTCGCTCGTCATGTACATGACCCAACTGAAAGGCACTACATTTTACTTCGCAGGGTACTAAGGTACATTTGCGGAACAAGAAACTTTGGGATACTGTATTCTAGAGGAAATCGTTTTGATGATGATTCACTTGTTGCCTTCGTAGATGCCGACTGGGCGGGATGCAAAGACACAAGACACTCCACATCTGGAGTAGTTATTACACTTAACTGTGCACCTGTGGTTTGGAAAAGTCAAAAACAAACCGTTGTTGCCCTTTCCTCCGCTGAGGCTGAATATATTGCAATGTCGCATTGCGGAAAGGAAGTTACATGGACACGCCGAATGATTTCAGAGCTGAGTGAACTTCTGGGAAAGACACCTCAACTTAGAGCTACGAGAGTAATGTCCGACAACACTGCAGCCATATCCATGGCTTCCGTGGAACAAATTTCTTCGCGCAACAAACACATCAATGTGAAGTATCACCACACTAAGAACCTCGTCTTCAAGAAAATCATCTCGCTATACCATGTCCCTACTACTGCGCAGCTCGCGGACATATTAACCAAACCCGTGGACTACCGAACACTGCAGAAATTAAGGACGCTTTTGTGCATCACCGAAAAGGAAAACTGAAAACAAAAGTATTTGGAATATGTTCAAGAAGCAAGGTCACTGCAAAACTTGCTTATGTAAAACACGTGAGGTGTTCAAGATGCGGGAGGCATCCAAAGTATTAATGGAGAAAAGAATTGCTGCGCGTGAGAGGCGCGAGCAAATAGCACAATAAAGAGGTCAAAAGATGCAAAAACAGACGTCTAACCGTGGAGCCCCAAGATGGGAAGTGCCTCTCGCCGTGCGCTGCGCTGCTTCACCAACCGAGGAATTACGACCGAGGCCGGGCAACCCTTCTAGCCCACACTGCACGCGTGGACCCACTCAATTCCATACCCGCTTCCAGGTATGCACGCCCCGAAAGACGCCGTCAAGTTGGTGACTGTGCGACGAAAATTATTCCTATTTATACCTGACACTGTGAGTGGAGGCCAGGTACCGGGCCAAATGATACACGTGTGAAACGTTTTGGAAAATTGAAAGAAAATTGAAACACATGCTAGCCACTGTGGTGTAGTGGTTGAAAAGGATATATTGCAAATTAATGTCGTGAGTTCGAGTCTCGCGACAATCGCAGAGATCGTTGCGCCGAGGAGGGGTGACAAATGATATAGCTGTAATGCGCGGCGACAACAATGCTCACCTGAGCCTGAGCTATGTACCTGGATTCTTGTGAGGTGCGCGAGGCACCTCCGAGGCTATAGACAGCCTGGCCTAGGGGCGAGAGGCCCCAGCAAAGAAGGATACTTAGTTCAGTAATGAGATTGAAACATTAAACGGAAGAGGTCAAGAGAGGACCATATTTTGTTAACGTGCGCCTGCATTCCCGCGCTGCACCCCCCGCCCACTCCATATCATACTGTACATTGTTTCACACCCCCCGCCCAGATCCCGCCCTGTGGGATATTTTTAGGGAAAATTGCATTTTTACTGTAGAGGGAGATTTTATACTGTAGTCCGAGATTTTATTTGAATTTTAGAGAAGCGCACGCGTACGGCCCCAGAGGATGAAAGTACGGCTGTGGGAGTGGAATCGTCCGCGTGGGTGATGAATCGTAATCCTCATGGGGTGGCTTTACTCGTCGTCGTCGCCGTCGCTCCTATTAAATACATTAAATACTGTTGTGGACAGACTGTGATATGGACAGTCTGTCCTTGCGGTCCGTCAATGGGAGTCATGCCCTCCGGCTCACCGCACCCCGCCATACGTCACCTGAATCGCCGCACGGCGTCCTCTCCCACGAGCCCCCCGCCTTCCTGCCCGGCCCAGACTCCCCGCAGTACGCAGCCCTCGTCAACGCCGAGGCAGACCTCTCCCTCTCCTACTCCTTCCTCGCCCCGCCTAACACTTCCCTTGCAGACTTCCGCTTCCGCCCGCTCATCGCCAACCCCGACCTCCTCGCCCCCGAGGACGTCAACGTCAACGTCGTCGCCACGGAGGACACCGCCCTCACCCCCGTCCTGTACAACGTCACCGTCGATATCGACTTCAACAAGTGGGCCGGCACCACCGACTTCGCCCTGCAGGTCCTCAACGCCTCCACGGCCCAGCCGCTCGCCGACTCGCAGCAAACCAACCTCGTCGTCGTCGGCGTCTCGTTTTACACCCCCGCCCAGACGGGCCCCGCCGTCCTCGTCGGCGGACCCAACTTTCCGCTCCAGGTCTCCACTGATGGTGCCGCTACAGATGTTAACCTCGGCGTCTTCGTGCAGTACTATGACGGCACATCTTCCAACGACTCGCTGGCCATTCCGCTGGACACCCTCAACATCACCACCGTCTCTGCGGACGGGACCTTGAACTACTCGCAGTCCTGTCTGCCTGTGGCTGGTGTTTACGAGGCTGCCGACGTCGTCCTGCCGGAGGCCTGCGGCGCTGGCTTCGCCCTCGATCCTGATGGCAGGCCTCACTTTGGATTGGATCTCAATGCCCAGGCGAATGCCTCCTTCACTGTCTTCATGGAATGGAATGAGCTTGTGGAGGGGAGTGACCTCGAGGCTGATGGCTATACCACTTTTATTGAGGTGCAGGTCAATCGCACACTTGCCCCGGCTGTTTCCCTTATTGCCCCGACCGGGCCATTTGGCACCCAAGGAACGGACCAAGTCGTCGTGTATATTGACAACGTTGCTGAGGGAGAAGATGACCCTACCTCTTGGACTTATGACCTTTCTATCTTGTTTGCGGATGGCGCCAAGAGCGCGACCGTCGACACCCCCGCCGTCACCCAGTTTGGAAATGGAACCATTTCTGTTGCCTTTACCTTGCCCGCTGGTTCCGGCGTTGATTTGCCATGGAATTTGACCATCACCAAGCCGGACGCTCAAGTAGTCCCGGTCGTGGACGCCACCAATCCTTCCTTCTTATTCTCCTTTGTTTCTCAGCTCAGTGTCATAGATATTCAGCCCAGCTCCGGCCCGGAGGAGGGCGGCATAACTGTCTCCCTCATTGGAACCTTTCCAGGCTTTGATACGGAAGCAGTCGATGTTCTTTTTGATGGCAACCCCATCAATCCTGAACTGATCACTGTTATTGGACCGGAGAACATTACCTTCACATTGCCCCCCAAGGTGTCGATAGGGACTGAATTTGATGTCAATGTCACCGTGAGCATCGGAGCACAAGTTACGAGCGGAATTACGTTTTCATACATTCCAAGCATATTGCTCCAATCCCTCACCCCTGCATCCGGGCCGGTGGAAGGCGGGACTCAGGTTACATTAGTCGGTCAATTTATCGACTTCACCAGTGATATTGACGGCACCGGGATTTATTTTGGAGGTGAGAAGATTGATTCCGACTTGATTACTGCCTCCAATTCTTCCGTAATCGTATTTACCACACCACCTCAGAGTTTCTTTGCCAGCGAGTCGGTATACGCCTATGATGTCTCTGTCCACATTGGCAACAGCTCGTCCAACTCGATTGTGTTTTCGTATGACGCTCCCTTGCAAATCACATCGATCGCCCCCAACTCAGGGACTGAAGAGGGAGGCACAGATATCACTCTTGGAGGGACGTTTCAGGCTTTTGACCTTTCCAATTCGAACGTTTATATTGGCAGCACCAAGATTGACAGCTCAACTATTGTACACAATAGCACATCCATCTTGTTTATTACTCCTCCGCGGGAAGAAGTTGGAAATGGATATACGTACAACATCTGGATAACAATCGAGACCACTTCCTCAAATGGTACATCGACGACGATCACTTCAAACACTGTCACGTTCACATACGAAGACGTTGGCTCTCAAGTATCAATCGATGCCAGCGGTGGTTCCTTCAACTCTGACGGCCACTATGAGTTGGGCCAATGCGTGGAGAGCTTGTATCAAGCATCAATTTCAAGAGGGGCACGCTTGCAAAACGCGTCTTACCGATGGTCCCTAGTTGCCAATGACACTGAGACCGATATTCTATCCGCCAAGGGAATAGTTACAAATTCCGATGTACTCTTGCTCCCCTACACAGTTTTTTCAGAAGAAAATGCCGCATATACCCTCACATTGACAGTGGACACAGACTTTTTTTCATTCACAAAAACATTGGTGCTCACCCAGTTAAGCAGTCAAAACATAGGCGTGCGTATCAAAAACCCCAGACCTCGCTCCATTTCTGGACCGAACACCACGCTCACAATCCCTGCAGACTTATATTTGCCTGGGTGCCAAGGAAATGTTATCATCGTGAACTCAACAGAGATGACGTACGAATGGGTGTTCCGAGGAGAAACGTACGTGTTCTCCCATCAGAACGAGTCTGCACCAGAAGAGCAAGCGAGCCCAACGTTGTTGGGACGTGAATTTCATATTCCTCAAGCCGTCATGGAATATGGATCCTTTGGCATTTCTCTGACTGCCTACTTCACTGATCAGCCGTCAATCAAGGGCATAGACACATCAACGGTAGTCATAAATCCAGCCGCTTTGATCTCACAGATTAATGGAGGAGAAGCATCTCAACTGATATCAGAAACGGGAAAGTTTCACTCTCTCTGGTTCACAATCCCGAGATCCTGATGTATTGAAAGGAGATACTGCTGCGGACTTGCAATACAAGTGGTCTTGCATTCATTCGTGGAGTGACTCCATGAGCGATGCAGTTGAATGCGACAGCACTCTGCTGGCTGACGGAAACATCGATGCCAAGGAGTTCACTGTTTCTTCAGAGAGCTGGGCTTCAATTCAAAACACGTCAAGTCGCGTCCATATCCAGTACGGCCTACAAGTATCTAAGACTTCCGTAAACGCCACGGATGATGAAATCGAGAGAGTCTCAGACGATGTGCAAAGCACATTGATTCTCGCCCAGGAAGCAGAGCAATCGTATGAGTCTCTACAAGGGATCGTCGTTCTCAACAATCAATCGGTTTTGCTGGACAAAACAAGCGTGAAGTATTATGAGGACGTGATCATAACCCCCGAATCTGCAACTGAGGAAACCACATGGAAATTTGAGCTTCTTTCACCGTTGTCTCAGACTTTCACGTTGCTTGCCTCAGACAGCAATCTGTTGGACTTGCCGGGATATTTTGGAGCAAGAGATGAGCCTGGAAGGTTATCGCTCGGTCTTAAGGCGAATGTTCTGACACCAAATACGCAATATGAATTCCTAGTTTCTTCCTTCCGAACCGGCTTCTCCGTGAATGAGCAAAAAATATCACTGACGACGGTGGAAAAGCCAAGGATTATTCTGGGTAACTATGCTACTCCCACAGGAACCACAGAGGACACTTATGTTTTATCCGCGTATGCCAGCTATGATGGAGACTTCAAATTTTTCTTCATGCTCAAAGACGATTTCGGCTTTGAAATGTGTGTGGGGGGTTGCCAAGGCGAGAATGTTGTCCAATTCCGATTGGGAACAGCAGGAACATATGCGGTGCGGTGCGATGTGTACGACTCTCTGGGATACACCCTCCTTGCAAACGCTACGGGCGGAAGCATTGTTGTCTCGGAAGAATTGACAATCACTGATTTATCACAATTTGGAGAGCAGGCTGAGCAGGCATTCCTTGCTGGCGATCACGCAATTTACCAACAGCTTGGTGCAGATATGGTGAAACACGTGGTGTCTCTCGGGGAGAGCCAGTCCCCAGACCTTGACTCTGAGATCTTGGCAAACTTCACACTGGGCATGAATCAAGTCGCAGCAAACGCCGTCCCGAATCCTATTCAGAGCGCAGGCTACGTTCGCATGGCCGCCTCACTGGCAAGCTTGACACCAGACCTAGGAATCACGTTTGATACGGAGACGCTTTACTATTTGGTGAACATCACAGTGAGCGCAATCGACAGAGTCCCTGACAATGGCGCGCTACAAGTACTAGAAGAACTACTCGACTTCTACGACCTCACTCCTGAGCTGGTATTAGAGACATACTCGCAGGGAACTTCTCGCCGCCGGTTATTGCACGAGATGCAGGACAGCGGGAAGGAGGTACGCGAAATCTGGCTCGATATCTACGAGGTTTTGAAGAACCAAGTTGTCCTCACGGTTTTGAAAAGATGCACTTGCGGATGCGTGGAAGAGGTTCAAACTGGGGTGAGCTCCCCATCCCGAATATCGCTCAACTTGAGACGGGCCATGATGAGACAGGCTAGAAATCAGTCGGCAATTGAATCTTACGTTAACCCCATTCAAGGCAGGCTGAGTCCGGTGAGTATTAAGCTCGCGCACTTCTGCAACTCAGAACAAGGGAATCAATTGAAAGTCGACGAAGATACTGTGGATGAGGTTCGATTCTCTTGGTGCAAGGGCATTTTTGAAAATTCGATCAAGAAACTGTACTTTGCTCTGGCCAAGACACCAGACTACATCTACTTGTCTCAACTCCGAAAAAACGTGACGCTTTCAAATGGTTTAGTCACAACAGTCATCGCTGAGTTGAACGGAAACGCGGTAGAAGACGCCACTCTTCCGATCAGTAACTGCTACACCGTGGAGATGCCAATGCTGCGAAACTTCTCAGACACCGGCACTTCAATCCCGGAAGAAGAACAACCACGCGGTATTCGATTGCATCCGCCAAAACAGTGGCAGGAACCAGCATCCCTGGCTCTCTACAACCCAATCTTCTCAGGTTTAACAACAACGGTCGGCGATACCGCTTCAACGTCGGAGACTGAGTACATTACAGCAACAGTGAAGATGTCATCAACTGGGGTGCTTGCAGTTGGAACGAGAATACATTGGAGTGGCGGGTTATTCTCACTTGAAGGAATTTTCTTGTCGGCTGCTGAGATCGCAGGAGTGACGGTGGTGATATTTGTACTTGTTCTGGGCGCGACCATCTCGACTTGGGTTGTTGCAACCAAGTTGATTGGACAAACAGGGCCGTTACCGCCTGTGGAAGCTGATTTCACTTACGTGGAACGTGACGTTTATGGCCGAGGAACGGCTCTGGACATTATGGAAGACGAGAGGTAGACGTTTTCCTTCCTGAGGGAAGGAAACAACAGACACACTATAGGGATAACAAAAGCTAACTAAATTTTTTAGAAAGTCGCTGCTTGTTGGTATTAAAATTGCATGATATCGAAATCATGCTTTTACCAACACGATCCAAGGCCAAACAGTTCGACGGTATTTAGAGGTAGGGTATTGCTACTTTGCTAGAGAGGGCCAATGCGAGCCCCGTCAAACAAAAGACATCACGGGTCCAACACAAAATAGTGACAAAACTTGCGAGCGATGCAGCGGCAAAAACGAAAAGTGCAACCTGGAAGTGCGGCCTTAATGACGAGTCCTCTTCTTCAAGTTTAGAGGGGGTTGCAGCGAGTCCTCGAGTTCTCGAAACGAGGGCAATTGCTGTTGCAGCTGGTGAGAGTGACGATGGTCGGCGGGTCTAGAAAAGCCAGCGCGGCGGTCATCACGCGACTCAAAAGGGCTAGGGTACTGACGCACAGCCGAGTGGTGAGGAAGGACAGAAACGTTCCTCGAGGGCGCGGGTTGGTTGGATACTAATCTACCGACTGGCGGGAGTGCATTTGGATACCACGATG